CTAGAGTTGATTTTTTTTATAAAATTGCAAATGTTGCCAATTTTTTGTCCTCTAAATGGTTTTAAGGGCAACACAAAATCCTGCCATCCGATTAGTGCTATCATCTTTCGTTCTCGACAGATGTAATTGTTTTCACGAATTTGGAATCTCATAATCCCCCTTTTTACTCTCTCACACTCGCTTTGTAAGAAGAGAAAGTTATGTGGATGAATACTTGTACTATAATATTCTATATATTGAAATATTTCCACTCTTCCCTCTTTACTTATATTACTGCATTTTTAATACTAAATTCTATTTTCTCCTTATACTTTATTGAGTTTTTATACCTTATTTATACTTATACTTTTATTGAATTTGAAAGTTGGCTAGCTCAGATATTATTATAATACTCAACAATACTTACACATTTCAGGACTGGTATAATAATATTTTCGCCTTGGTGAACCTGAAAGTTACCGCTGATTAGTACAATTTCTGTTGATTTTATTTACAATTGTGGTATATATTGTTTAACTTTATAACGTTTCTCTTAAATAATATAATTAATTTTTATAAACCCCTTTTTGGATCCGTTATTTACACTTTAAATCATTAAAATATTTATCTTTAAATGGCCATCTTTACTTTGATTTCTGAATAATTTAAACTTAATAATATTCTTAAACCAGAACAGTCTTGTCCTTGCACATTTTTACGTGAATGTTTTTGTAATTTCTTGAATCACATGCACTTCTCTGAGTCAACGCTTCAATGCTCTTGACGATGACCTGGCACTCCCTGCAAGTCGTAATAGCTGCGATCAAATTCCGTCCATATTCGGGCTTCCACACTTTTTTGGACTTCAACATCACGTTCATAGTTTTTTGAACTTCGTCATCACGTTTATAGTTTTTTGGACTTCGTCATCACGAATACTGTCTATCGCAACTTCTATACGACCTGCATCATTTACGATTCGCCTTAGTCTGAAGGGTCTCGGGTTCGAGCCCCACTGTGGGCATGGTTGTGTGTCCTTGTCTTTCTCGTTTGTGTATTATCGCGGAAGGTCTTGTGAGTCGGCTGACCACTGACCGAGGATCTCGCACCTAATGTTCTACAATTTGTAATGAGTTTTACAAAAAATGGTGATTGAGATGTGTTAATTCGGTGAAAAATTGCAGTAATGGTATTACGGAACCATTACTAAGAGCGCGAACGTGTGTGCTGTTTCAGAACCACTAGTATTTCAAGAAAAATATAGTAAGACTAAAAGAAGCACTAATGAGTGTTGAAGTCGCAAATGTCAAAATCGGCAGCATTTCTCTAATCATGAATGTTCGAAACTCGTTAATAGCGTATTTGCGGGTGTTGAGGGATTATTGTATTCGTATCATCAATACCTGCAAGTATTTTTTGCAGCGATTACAGTTTTGAAATTGCGATATAGCCCGTTCATATTCTGCATAGAAGTAACAAGCAAGGTCATGGATGTTGGGAGTTTTTGAACGGGATTAGTTTTTACAATTTATTTATAAATCCAATTGCAAATACTATAAAAACATATTTGAACAGAGCTATGCATCAAATTTAGAAATTTTCAACACATGAAAATACTTTTAAAACAGTTTAATACATCGGCTACGCCACATTCAGCTAGTTTGATTGTAAAGGAATATCTATAAAATAAATTGAAAATACTCAGGGGGGAATCCACGACTTCTGAAGCACGATAATAGCAACAACAACAACATCAACAACAACAACAATAATCATAATAATAATAATAATAACAACAACATTGAATATGGCAACACTGAACACAGGAACAATAAGTTGGACAATGGGCCAAATTTGATTTACAGATGTGAAGAATTTCAGGTAATTTGGCTTCCTGTATTTACACAGAATCAAAGCGTTGCTTCATATGAAACAACATGTCTGCGCTGTATATAATCCATCATGTTTTTCTTTTATGTTAGTATAAGGAGTTAATACTCGCGCAACTTGCAATAAAGAAGATATAATACAAAATTATTATATTTACTATTATGAGTATTAGAAGTACTTTAAATATGTATTATTTAGCAAATCAAAACTTAGTGTATTTTGAGTACTATTTAAATACTCATTTACAAAATATATGTCAAAGTATTTAAATTCTAAATTTAAAGTACCTTGCCCAATCCTGATTATGGTGTACCATAAACGTAATTTCATCCCCTCATTCCATCCCCTAAATCAGGCCACCGCACCTGGCAATCCTGGTCGGCTGACCGGCGTGAATGAAGCCAGGCCTTAAATAAAGCCCGCGTGCTTGCGCCTAAAAGGCTAATCCAAAATTCAGAGAGATCAACGAAAATGAGGTCGCCATTTTTTTAAGCATCCTTTGTTCTGTGGAATTTTTTTTTTAATTTCCAGCCATTTTTATGAAAAAGATACAAATTGCTTTTATTCAAGGAAAGAATGTAAAATCTATTTTTTTTTTATTTTTGAACATGACCTAAGTTACAGAGAGAAATTTTATAACAGATTTCATTAAGGAACTAGTGATGCTACAACAGCACATACTTTCTCGCATTATTGGAAACGGCTAACTAATATTGAAATATTGCAATTTCTGCGCTACTAACACCTCAACTATTACTTGAAAACGTTCAATTCCACCAATTCAAACAAAGCGCCAGTGATGTATATCTACACTCATGTTGATAGGAGCAGCAATCATGTCTTACTTTTACAAATGAAACAAACAGGCATAAATTTGACTCTTTGATTATTCGCAGCAAATTATACAGAAGTGAGCAACGCACTGTTGCCAGTGCAGCGTTATCAAATCAATGTGCATTTCGTTTGACATAAGTGCTTGGCAAATAATATAAATCCTTGCAAAACGCGCATATTTCTATCGTCATTTCGACTTTTTTATGGCTCGGAAATTGTACATCATACACAGTTGATTACCTCTAATACTCATGAGCTACTTAAGTTACTAAGGTTCTACAATTTGTAATATTAAGTTAATACATTACCGCTTTATTATACATTAACACCGTCTCAAACGAAGGGCAGGAAAACAAAACTTTATAGTTTCTAATGATGTGATTCAATGTTTTTATTTCAAACGTTTTTAACAACTAGAGTCTGTGACCTAACTCATTTAATATAATGAACATTCAAAATAGAAAAATTAACCTCATAACGTCCTATAGTCCAGAAAAAAGCAACGTGTTTATTATGTAAAAATATAAAATAAATTCCTCCGATCTATTCCATTTAGTTTGTATAGATTCCGGGAACATCAATTATTGTCGCCATTAGTCCTTTAGTAGGTGTACATGTATCACGGGAGGATACACAATAATAATAATAATGAATAATAATAATAATTATAATAATAATAAAATAATTAATATATTGTCACTACTATTATTACTATTACATTTATGAGCAAGTCCGATATGTATATAATCATAGCAACACAATAAGATATTTCTATCAATTAATACCGAAGACAAAACTAAAATAGAAATTTAATTCTCATAAAAATACAAAATTCATGGAAAGCTAATTATTAGTGGTGAGTGTAACGAAAGAGTTAAGTTTAAAAATCAATATAATAATAGAATTAATATAATAATAATATAATAAGATAATAAATATTTCAATAAAATTAATAATAAAAAGATTTAGATAATTTATCATACATTCGTGCCTAGGCTGGGTCCGTCCTTTATATCCAACAATCAGTTTAGGGGGTTTGAAAACATGCAACAGAAAGTGCAAAAATTATTAGTACCAGTTTATATTGATGTAGATATGTGTTTATGATGTTTACATTCTTTGACTAATGAATGTATGGTTTAATAGGAAAGCTTTCAGTTTATTTCTGAACGTGTATCGAGTTTAAGCTTTTAAATTCGCTAAGAAGTTAATTATATAGTGCAATGCCTTCTATAAGGGTACTTTTTTGTAAGAGTGAAATTTTACTGTGAGGAACATGCAGATTTCTCTTTTGTCCAGTATCATAGTTATGAACTTCTTGAGTTCAAAGTAACAGAATTCTTGTTTTCCATACGTTTCTTCTTTGTGAAGATTAATATTTCAAATATGTACATGCATGGGAGTGGTAGTATTTGTAATTTTTTGAACAGTGGTTTGCAGGTGTTTGTGAGTGTTTGTCATTGTTCTCAATATTCATTTTTGGATGATGAAAGTGTGAATACTTTCTGGGGAATCTTCCCAGAATATTATTCTTCATTTTAGGAGCAATTTATTGTTTTATTCGTATCCACGTCATCTTGCAGGGTTTCCTTCTCCCCCCTAATGTGAGGCACTGACCGAGTCGAAACGGAACAAGCTCCCTGCTGGACTCTCGAAGAGCAAGTGTAGGGGGAAGAGATGAATGAATGGATAAAGAAAAGTCGCGTGCGATCCGCGGCCCGACTATTAGGAAACGTATTCGCCAGTATTGATCGGAGAAACCAAGGAAAATACCGATCAGAGCAGCTGGCAACTAGAAATCTCCAGATTCCGCTTAATTCCATGCGGATGCCGAACCAGCACAGTTTATAAAGAGTTGCAAACGATCCTTTTTTCCTTATCCTGTCCCATCAGACTGCGCTGTCTCCTATCCGATATATCTCAGAGCCCTTTACGAAGATGCTTCGAAATGTCGCTAGGAGAAGTCTTACCTCACAACGTGCTCCCTACCTGTAGAACGTGACTATGGCAACGAACTGTAAACAGTTTCCTTGGTTGGAGCACCTTTCCGCTCGATTTGTTCGCACGTTAGAATTACTCTTACTAGAGAGCTAATATTTATTACCATTTGCAGACATGGTAATAATTCGTAATTATTTATTTTGTGGACATTCTATGTACGCGTCGAGAATGGTTTCCCGATCAAACTAATTATAAACGAAACTTAAAGATGGACAAACAAAGAAAGGTATGAATCGTCTTTAACTTGCTGGAGATTAAGGTTACACAGTCGGTTTCATGCTGATTTTCTTTTTTAGACGGAGACGAGTAATTTATATTGTGCTGAGAAGAAAGCGTTGGGACGGACAAAAGCCGTCCCTCTATTTCATCATGAGGGAGACAAACTTCATACTAGACTTCCCTGTTGGCCAGTTTTTGATATTCAAGATTACGAACCAGATGTACCTCAGGGCGAATATCCCTTGCTCATGCAAGCGCCAAACTGGACACGATCGAAACCCAAAAAAGTACGATTTCTTGTTACATTTCTTGTAGGCCCCACAACAGAGCAACCACAGTTTGTCTATGGACCCTACTTGTCGTTGTCTTAGGGGAAAGTGCAATGAACTATGCCAACTCACGCTACTTGTACATTACTCAATAGGCAGGGAGGAAGGACCAAAAACATTTCTGGATCCTTTTTTCCTTTAAACTTATTTATTTACTAATGACATTTTATTAGTAACTAAATAAAATATATTACAAGGAAAATGAAATAATTAATTTAGTGTTATAATTAACAGTTATGATTTGATTTGATTTTGAATTTTTTTGAAGTGTTACCAAATGGCTTGGAACACCTCTTTTCCAAATACTTAACTTTTCCCCACATTGTCAGATTTAAAAAGAAGGAAATCAGGGATTATTCATTTATGGAAATAAAATGTTTCATTACTTAAAACTACAGAGCCCCTTCCAAATTTTTCAGAGGGCCAAGATCCCTCTGACTCCCTCAACCAATGTTCCTGCTTATTATAAGTTCTCAAGCTCATTGTTGTGTTTCAGAAAACGAATCTTGAGTGAATTTAAGAAATTGCATGCTCATCCCTGTTGCTATCCCTCCCCAATTTTATAGCAGTACCTGCATTGCTATCATTCTCAACCTCTATTTGAATAGATATCTAAAATAAGCATGCATATACAATTTGAGTAGGCAAATAGAAAATACTTTTTTGATTTAGTATATTAAAAACATAGGTGTACATTTTTTATCCTTAGACATTTAAAACGTTAATGAGAAACTGTCTTATAATAGACAAATAGACATTTGTGTCAGAAACTACCAGCAGATATGCCTTACTGATTTCATTACTTTTTTTAAAGTTCAAAAAGATTTTTCTGATACAGTAAAAGCATCAATTATTGTCCTAACTAATCAGTTCCAACTTCGTGTGGAAGATAAAATATTCTGGAAAATCAAATAAACCATACATCAGAACAGTTGGAAGTATAGAAATGATTAATTTCACTGTGATATAAATTGAATAGGTACTTCATTTAAATGATATTAAGTTCAGTTCAGATCTAAGAATAAAACCATTGTTAGGCTCTATAGAAAGAGTAGAAATTGACTTACTATAGAAAATAACTAATTATCAGTGACTTAGACTATGAAATACCTATTTTTAAGAAAAGTTTTTTAGACAATAATTTAAATAAAAATCAAGAGCCCCAAATACATGTCATGTAAAAACAAAAATGTAATTTGAAATTTAACTCACAAAATACACAAAACTTTTCAAAACAAAAGGTTCCACTTATGTCAACAATATGTAGAATGAGTTTCATTTAAGGATATTGAGAAAAAGAAAGAAAAAAAGCTTAAGAAACAAAAATAAACAGAAGCAAATTATTATTTAATTTTCTTCAATAACAATAACTGTCATTGGGTCAACTGTCATTATTGTTATGTTCCTTTGATTGTTTGTGTTGTGTATTTGTAATAACTTCTTACAAAACGCTACCACCGGAAATATTCCATGTATTCCTAAGTAGCAAAATAAATATTCTATTCTATTCTATAATATACCTAATGTCATACATAGCCTGCTACAAGGAAATAAATAAATCACAAAAATGCAAGGTTAATCAATGCTCTACAGTAGCTTACAATATAAATGGATGAAACAAGTAATTTATGATGCTTAAAAATATTTTTGTAATTTGCAGTAGTCCCTTATTTTTATAAAGGACTAATTCACAGAAATAGAAATAATTGATGTTTATGTATTAGTTGTTCTTAAATAGCCACCTTAAGCATTAGTAATTTAGTAGGTATTCATTTTCCTATATTTTGATAGAACTGTTAAAACATTGGGATGAAGTCAGAAAACAAAAGAATAACATCCCAATTTAAGACCATCAGATATAAACTAGTGTCTAAAATATTTGTTTCTTATGGCCTGCAGGAAATGTATGGATATAGTAAGCCAAGTGAATCTATTGGAAGCTGCTATACCCCAACAGCAAAATTTCTCCGCATCAACAACATGCCTCCAAGACGACCTGCACCATTGCCTGATTATTTGGATCCAGAAGGAAAACTTTGTTTCCCCCCTAAAAGACTAAAGATTGTAAAGAAGAGGAAAACTACAGAAATTACAGATGAGGATGTTGGAATAGTAAAATTGAAGGTTAATGCTAAGAAAATTATCCATGAAAAAATTATTTTGAACCGTGGTTTAGAGTAAATATATTTGTGAGCAACTTTATATTAATATCTTTCTAAGAATAGTATAATTAATAATATTCTCAGAAATATACAAGTAACTGTTATTGTGTAACTTATATTATTATCTCTCTGAAAAAATTGAGTTATTTATTTATACCTATTATAAATGAACTGATCATTTCAGAGAAATATTTACCTTTTTCTGTTTGTTTTTTTCTTTTCCTTCCTTCCAAAATTGAGACATTAGTGATTTCCATATTCAGAAAGCTAAATACATTGCTAAAATATGGCAATTATTGGAGTATTCTTTCTTTGAAAAATAGGTAAACAAATATTGTTTCCGTTTCAGAAACCATGACAGTGACTAATCCTTTTAAAATAAAAATGGCTTTTTAAAATGAAACAGATATTCAATTGCATATCCAAAGAACTTTCTCAATTTTAAAAATACAAATTAATTGAACAATTTAAAAAAATTAAAGTCATATTTGTAATATGAAGATGGAAACTATATTCAACCAAATTTTGGCAAAGAAAAAATGTACAAGAACTATAAGGGCAGAAATTCATGGGCGATTAATAAACACACATTTGACTAATTATTTATGAACTGAAATAAAGCGGTGGAAAGCAATAATTCGTTTTTGCCCCTTCCAGGTATTCAACCTGGGGTCGGAAAGCAGGCTCATTAGCCACCTTAGATATTACCTAAATTTCCAGGGCTTGAAATACACTCAAAATTTTCAAAACTATATACACTAATAACAGAGTTTCTGTACAGCTTTCACTGTTTCTACATTCTCAGCCTTTACGCATTGCGGAAGTCATCTTGGATTTGCCTAGTCTTCATGGCCTCTTTCACTCGTTTCCATGCCCTATCTCGGTCGTTTTCTCTTGCCCTTGTTTTGGCCATCTGTTATTATCCAATCATATGTGTCCACACCACATCATTTGTCTCATCTCCATTTCATCAAATATTGATTCTTCTATTTTCAGTTTGCTCCTTATATCTCGATTCCTTTTTCTGTTGAGTCTGCTCATCCACATCTTTTATGTCGAGTATTCGAGCGATCCGCTTGTCTTGTGCGGCGTACCCCCACCACGTGCTGAAAACTTAAGATGCCAATCATCGGAGGCGAAAACCTTATCGTTGAAATTGACGAATGAAAGATCGGCCGCTGGAAATATCGTCGTAGTCATGTTATAGAAGGGCAGAGGGTTCTGGGCGTGATTGACCGTGAAACTAGAGAAGTTCGTCTGGAAGTGTACCCCAATAACAGAAAGGGTTCAGTCACATTGTTGCAATTGATTTTGCGGCACTACAATTTACACCGACTTTTAGAGGGAGTACAGCGAGCTAGATCAAAACAACTTTATCAATATGGCAGAGAACCACTCTCTTCACTTCGTGGATCCTTTAACGGATTCACACAAACAACATTGAATCCAGCTGGCGTCGCCTTCATACGAGACTGACCCGAGGGGGCGTTCGCCTCGAGAACACGGCTATGCACTTGGCCTAGTATTTATGGCGCCAAGATTCGTTGTGGGCTATGGTGGACGCCTTAAGAGAAAATAATTCATGAATTGTGTGCAATTTGTACGTGCTTAAACGTGTGTGTGCAATAAATGTGCTTAAATCTGTGTTGTTTATTTCATGTGTGTCCATTTCTATGATCCCTCTTGTTTCTGGTAGCGCTAAGTGGAGAGGGGTGTCTGAAAAGTGAACATCGCGCACAGCTCACAAACAGAAGTTCGCTAGTATCTCCTTTATGCCAAAAGTCCATCTCTGAAGTCAAGAGCTTTGGCCTTTTTCTGGCAACTACCTCCCTTATTTCTCACCCATTAATTCTACTAAGGTGCAATAAAGCAATTTTTGCTAGTTTTATTATAATACCCTTGTACAAAAACATAGAGTTTGTGCATCACATCACATTCCTTTCCAAATCAACTCTTCTTTCTATTCCTCCTGTTGTCTAAAATTTCTTTTGATAAAAATTGATTCTTAATGTCTTCTGATTTTCAACCTCCTAGCTATCAATCTGATTTCTCTTTAACCCTTTAGGAGATATCTCCATCCTTGACAAAATACTCTGTCAGATGGCAATATCTTTCATAGCTTTTGTCTTGGATTATCCTCGTCCATAATGGCGCAATTTCAATTTCATTTGATGTGGGAGAAGTTTTCGGTTTCTATTTGATACATTCATTATCTCTCCTCATACTCTGAGAGACAGTAAAGGCAGCTCAAAGCACTTCTCCAGCTAGCTCTTTGAGGAAATTAGGATTGGAAGGGGTAGGTCAGGGCATCAACTGATGTCACTGCAGCGCCTCTGTCTAGAAGGCTCTAGATTCGAGTCCCAACAATGGCAGGATTTTTGACACTAGCTTATGAGCTAGGATGAATTCAGTCGCTGTCTGGAGGAGAATTTTGGCGGCTGGCTATTCTGATTCGTAGTTTTCCTTGGTTTCTACGATCAAAATCAGGAAAATGCTGGAGCAGTACCCTAACAAATGGGTCATGGACCGTGTACGATCTTTCCTTCCTCTTCCTAGCCCTATTCTTATTCCTTGCTTACACACACTCACACTAAAATGCACTACACTACCACACATGCCAGGAGGTCGGTCGGGATCTTAGAGGTTGTCCCGTCTGAGGCTGCACCCTGCTGGTGGGAGATACCTAGTTGAGGAATACCCCTCTAACCTATGGTAGGTCGGTGCTGGATCTCGCCATCCAGCAGGGAAGATCACCGCCACCTCCAGAGGAAAGAAACGTGGACGACACAAAATGGTATTCATTATTTTGCAGACACCATAAAACTTTTTATTATTATTTTCAGTTTATTGACATGAAAAAAATTAAATTCCTTGTTTCATTGGTATCGTTAAACATTTCACTCATTGTTTTATTTAAAATTATTCTATATATATATATATATATAATATATATATAGCTATATTATAATATATATATTATATATATATTATATAATATATATATATATTATATATATATATATATATATATTAATAAATAAGAATTTCTTATCCTTAGACTTTCTGCTTCATGTAACTGTTCGAGCTGAAGCAAAGAAAAAAGACTGGATACGCTCCTGTAAAATAGGAGGAGATGCCTGACAAAAAAAAAAAAAAAAAACCTCATCCATTTTCAAGTTTTAAAATAGAATGTACTACTATGTTAAAATGTTGATGTAGTTGCAATCCTAATTGAAGTATTTGTTCCAATATTATTATTATTATTATTATGTAATTATTATTATTATTATTATTTATTATTATTATTATTATTATTATTATTATTATTATATTATTATATTATTATAAGTAGTTAGCATTAAATAACATCTTGAAATGTTAATTATTAGCGAGATAATTTATCTACTGTATAATATCTTAATCTAACTGTAACAATTATGTATTTCTAGGCCAATGACCCCATCTCGATCAGGTTTTGATCAGTTCCCTGGTCCTCTTTGAGCAAATGCTGAGATGACCCATTGTTTGCTCCTGAACCAGTAATGTAACTTCGCTCTCTCCACCCAAGGCATTATATTGACTCGTCATACACGATTGTAATTGTATATGTGACTCAATAAATAAATATTATTAAAATATTCATATGAGTTAAAATGAATTATGTTTAACTGCATAAAATGAGTTAATTTTTGTGTGAAAGGTTTTGCCATTCAGCTAACTTTCTTTGTTTTTCTTAGTGATGCAGTGATAAAGTCTATATGACAAATTTGAAAGTCAATTTGTAAAACAGAATGATTTTCAAAATGTTCACTTCATATTGTTTTTTTCAAAAAAGTTTTCTTTCTTATAACTTACCTAATTTTCTTGATGTTAGTAATGAAGAAAATGTTTAAATAATCTTTATCTTTTGTAAATACATTTTCTATTGCTGAATACACATCCTATTCATTTTTGAAGTGTTTTTATTCAAGAAGATATAATTAAGCCAGCAGTGAGCTGTCTTGCTTTTACTACATTTGAAACGTTGTTCTATTTTTGTAGTTATGAAAAAGACATAGAAAACAATGACTCTGTAGGATATATAACAAAAATATCAATGAATGTAGCATGTGATAAAAATTTTAAAAAAGGGGGTCAACCCTTTGCATGAGTTAGACTTTTTTAGCAGTTGGTTTATCTTGACAATTAATTAAAATATCATTGTTAAGTTCCTTGACTGTTCATAGTTATTAAATTAAATTTTGTTCCCATTTGCAGTTATGGTATCAAGCTAGCAACAATGGAACTGCGCGTACTGGAAATTGAACTTGAGCATCTACATTAAGCTTAAGCTACAAGAATAGGTTATCATGAGTAATTAATACTCCTGTCTAATTAATTTCTAGGATCTTTTGAAGCAACATGCTACTGAACGTAGTGCAACAAAGAATAGAAAATCAGCAGAAAAGGAGATGGCACATAATATACGAAAAGAAATGAAACAACAGCTTAAAGATGAAATAAATAGGAAAATTGAAGCTATGTAAGTTATAAAACATGTTTTATAATTTTATAAAGAACAGAACTTCATTTTATCGGTCCATTAATCATAATTGTCTTCAGAAAAATGTCACAACTAGAAGCAATTGAACCAATTCACCCTGATGATCAATTGAAAATGTTGAAGAAAATTGTTGAAGAAGAACAAAAACAAGAAGTTATGGATGAGGATCTTGTGAAAATAGCACATTATCTTGATCAAGTATGTTGTTGTAATCCTCATTAATCAAATTCTGTATAGAGTTTGAAGTTTTGTATGTAATCACATAATGTAAATAAACCTGTGATGATCTTGACTGTCAAGGTGATATGATGATATTTTAAAATGTATTACAGTAAAGTAACTTTGACCATAAGTGAGTGAAAATGACAATAAAGATTGCAGAGGATTAATCAAAAGGCAAGGCTTATGTCAGAGACCACATTTTGTAATAATTTGTTATATGAAGATTACACACAATAATTTTTTGTAGGGAATAGATTATGATATGATTGAACCATATCCTGGTTATTATTTGAAGAACGCCAAACGTCTAATAAAAGACAACCTTCTCAACAATGAACGGTAAGTGTAATTAATTTAAATTTGCTTATTGTTTAGCTGACCATATGCTGTATTATTTACCATACACCCAGAGGCATATCTAGGTATTTGAGCACCCATGGCTAGCATATAATTTGCTCCCCTGACAGGATACTTCAAATTAGGGTTGTTGTTATTTATTTTACCGGGTATACTCGTAAATAGCTCCTCTTGTGAGTGGCACCCATGGCACATGACATGTCTGCCATCCCTTGGGTATTCCTCTTCCCGAACTGTATGTTAGTTTTAATTATATTATTACCTAAGATTTATGCAGAATAACATTTACCCAAAAATATACATATGGACTATAAACCTTCATGGAGTGAAGTATTTAGAAATGTTGAATAAACAGTTGTTATTCAGTATTATTAATTGTTGAATATACAGATAAAAATGGTGAAAACCTTGTATTAATAAAATGTGTAAATTACATAAATAGAACACCCAAAGAACTTTGTTTTAATAGAATCTCTAAAATAAGAATTATTTGTATATTGTACTAAAACAGACTGAACAATATGTTGTTGAAAGTAAGTTCCTTAATTTGTTTCTGATAATTGGCCATCCCAAAGCAGTGGATTGGTTACAGAGGACTCTTTTATGTGTTCACATGTGAAACTGCCCTTTTCATCACTTAATATTACCTTGCACTGACTAAAATGCCACTTAACATCAAAACTAATGGAGTCTACCTTCAACCTTGCAATATATTGTGGAGTTAAATCCAAATGTACTTCTAAACCCCATTCACCACTTTAAATTGTGCTAGAAGTTGAAAATAATCTCCTAAGAATAGATTTGAAGTTCTATATTATGGAACGTATTGCAAATAAAATATTGAAAAATTGCAAACAACATGTGCTGTTCTTAAATATGTGGAAATAAATACTATACATGGAAATATGGATAAATATGGCTAATCAAACAGGTTTCAAAATCCCTTCAAAAAGCCTTATTCACAATTTTAACTGTAGCTGATGAAAATGCATATATGTATTTGTTTTTGTAATTTTACCATTTTGTCCCATAAAGGGCAATTGGCCTCAGGGCTATTAGATCCCAGGTTTCCTCATTGTTCACCCAACCCGCGATGTCTCGAATTTGCTTAACCTTCATGACTTCATGTAGTTAATGAATTTGGCTAGTAACACCAGTTTCTCAGTCATGGCCTTTCTGTAGTGCCACCCCAGCATTCACCTGGATGACCAAGGGAAACCTCTGAGAGAATGGCCAGCAAAGGGATTGAATCTGGACCACCAAATGTGTAGTCAGTGCGATATGTCCTGAGCCATTTTGCTCAATTGCAAATATATAATTACATACAATTCCTTACCTTGGTTATTATAAAATAATGATTTTTTTTTATTTGTTTTTGGAAGAAAGACCTTTTCAAAACAAATATTAGAAGTTGCATGTTGTATGTTGTACATTTTTTTAGATATGAAGAATTGATTTTTAAACTGGAAGCTGAAATTAAAAACGATTGGAATTTGAGTCTTCGACAAGCAATTTTGGAATATATTTTACTTGATCCTGATGAATGGACTCGTTTAGATATTTACACATATCCCATACCATATGGAATTGTCATAATTCGTGCACCTGTTCCTTGGCATAATAATTATGTAATTAGTAAGCAACTAATATCTCATAAGTTGTTCATTGGTAATGATGTTCTTCTTAGAATTCGTGACCTGTGGTCACAAAGGTAAGTTTCTTTATAGAATGGTATTTATACTTTTGCATGCAATAATGTATTTGTGAAGGTTATTTGGTAGTGAAAGAAATAATATTACCGCTTTGTGAATTATGAATGTAGAAATAACTTTGGAGATAATACTTTTGCCTTTTCAAAAGGATTTGTCAGAGAGTCTCTCTAAGAATTTTATTTCTTTAATTATTAATTTTCTCTATGCATATTTTTCATATGAAAGCTTCAATATAATAGATTTGTTTTCATTTACTGGATAACCCAATGCATGTGTGTATTTTATCTTTTTGCCCCATATTCCCCTAGCCTTATTTTGCTTATAAAAGCTTATATCTTCAATAAAATAGATTTGTTTTCATTTACTTGACAATCCGGTTCATGTTTGTCTCATGTTTTAATTCTTTTTTGGATATAGTTTTTCTCATCTGTTAGTGGTTCCAACAGAGACTATTAGGGAACAATTAGCTTTGCCTTGTCAGTGGGAAGATCTCAACAGTTTAGTAGACAAGTGCTGTTCAGACATCAATCGGATACTGAATAATGAGTGAGTAACCTTATTAAAAGAACAAATTTTTACCCCATTATATTACTGTGCATAAATGTAAAGTGTTAGTTCCTTGAAAATAGTAAGCAAAATTTTCAGGTTCAATTTTTGATGTAATAGGTGGCTACCTAAGTGTGCTGAAATATTTTTGGAAATGAAATCTTCTTGGGAGTATCTGGTGCCACAGAAAATGGGCGAGTCATTGCTATTGGTCCAAACATTTTTTGACTCTGCTAGTAGTCTTGTGGCTCTTGAAGTTCGTGACCTAATTTTAAAGTCTTTGATGGAGTTATTATCTTTTATTGTTCAATACAAGGTATGTGTACATGTGTGTGCGTGGTGTTTTTCCTTTTGTGTGTGTGTGTGATATCAACTATATTGAAAATCATATTGTGATGTTGTTAAATGATGATTGACATTTATGCACTATCTTTCTGGATCTTGGAGACCAATATGTAATCAATCAGAAATCTACTAATATTCAATAATTTCCTTGTAAAGTTTTATTTGTTGGGTGATCATGTTTTCTTACAAAATGCATGTTTATAATTATTTTATGCAAGTTTTTATTTTGTATTATAAACAAGTTTGTCTAGTATTTTCATTGGATAATTACTTTTATTTGCTGTTCCATTGCAAAGATTTTTCACCTCTATTATCATTATTCATAGTAGTTCGTGTTTCTATATGTAGCATTTTTGCTGGCAAGATAATCAAATGTTAACATAATAGTAATTAAAAATGTTTTCAAGGATGGAAATGACTTTGGGGAAAAATATGAAGATTGTGTCTTGAACAAACAACCTCTCATCACAATGAAAGTTCTTCCTGTTCCTGGAAAAGCTGAGTTTACATTTTCCCCAACAGCAGATCATATACGAGATTTTATTCGACTATTATTTAGAAAGATTATTAATGTCAATACGGCAGTACCTCGCATAGAAGCCATTCTCTTTCCAGGCAAGTATTCCTTTAATAAATTTGTCCTTATTTTAACTGTCTTAAATCCAAACTTATGACTTCTCTATATTAATTTCTTGTAGAAATGAGAAATAGTCATTTAATCTTGAAACCAGTGAGGGAATCAGAAGAAGAAATTAGTGATCTCATTAAAGAAGCAGTAGAAGCTTTTGATACAAATATTGTTGGTCCTATTGCTTATATGCGAGAATATGAACCTTACTTTTTTATTCTTGATGGCTCATTGGAAAGGTCAACCAAAGAGTTCATGAGTCAAGACCCAGAACCTCTACTAGAGGTATTAATATTAATAAAAACTTAATGAATACATTAAAAAATAGTATTGCTATTCTTTACTAATTTATGCAATGTTCCTGTAATTTAATTTTATGGAGAAAATAATATATACTTTTCATTTATTTCAGGATTATAAAATGCGTATTAAAGGCCACAAAGCATTAAAAGAAAAAATAGCATTGTTGAGAAATACAATACCTTTGAATTTCCTCAGTTTAGATTGCAGTGAGCTCAATGAAATTCTGTGGAAAATGGTAGACGATGATGAAGCTGTAATGGTGAATCATCATGTCTCAGAAAACAGAACTTTAAACAGAGGGTAACTGTTGGCTTTTTTAATAAATGTAAATATCTCATTCTCTTACTAATTTAAAATACATTTACTGTTAGGATTTGCAATGTGTTTGAAGAAATGTCTGACAAAGTTAGTGAGTTACCTGAATCAACAGCTGAGCTTGTTGAACTTTGTAAATACCACGCTGAGTGCCGTGATGTAACAATGTTCAACTTACGAGAAAAGATACGCACAGCAGCTCAGAATGTTCTGTTTCTTATGAGTCATGCTCTTCTATCACGTAAGAATTCTTATATTATTTTTTTCTTATTATTCCTGTAGAATATGTATGAATGGTAATGGTATATATGGTTTCTCATTAATCATAATATTTTTTTAATGAGTTTTATTTAATGCTCTAGTTTAAATAACTTAGTTGAGCAACACTTTTTTCAGCTGAAGACATATTCCTCAACTCAAGAGTATTTGTGTGGCCTGCTGATATGGAAGCTGTACTAGAATTAAGTCAACAAAGATTAGCACATCGTCGGGAAATGGTTGAAATTGCTCTAAAAACCAAAAGAGAGGAATTTGATGCACGGTACATAATTTTTCACTACAAAATAAAATTATTTTATTGGTAAATTTAAGAATTTTCTTATTTGTTTAGACTTGTTCAGCACCAGAAAGAACTGGAATTCTTTAAAAAGAAAGACCCTCCGATTCTTACTATGGAAGATATGGAAGAAAATGCTGAAATTGCCAAGAAGCTGTTATCAATAATAATGGAAGATAAAAAAGATGGTGATGTACGTAATTACATTTATATTGAATTTTATTACAGGATTGACTAAAGTAATCCATCTTTACTTGAACACCAAAGTTTACCCGAGCATAAACAAATCATTTAACTCAATTATCAATTATAAAGAAAGGGGAATTAATTCTATCTATAATATAAAATGGAAATCATTTTACTTTCATATCCATCTTCTTGTTCTGATGTGTTCCCCCCAACTCCACCATTCACACCCCTTTCCCCTCCACCCTCAGTCCCACCCTCTCCATCCATTACTTCCAACACGTACCATTCCCAGCTGCTATTCCTATTCACCTTTCCATTTCCAACTTTGACCTTGAATTATGCGAAGCCTAATTGCATTATTAGAATTAATCAGAATTTGGTTGGAAATTGGATGACTTCTCAGATAATTATTTTCTACTTTGGCTGGTTTCCTCAGCGTTTTCAAGGTAGTCATGAAAAACTGGAAGAGTGTACATCCAAAGTCTGCTTTATGGTGTGAGAAAAGGATGTAGGGGTTGGGGTAGTTTGTTTTTTTTGACATCTCAAATAGACAGTAGCCTACTTTCTCTTATTCCTTCATAAAACTGGCTCTTGTTTTGAAGGCTAATGCGCAAAATTTTATCGAGGTCAACATAAAACTAATTTGTATAAAATACAAAGAGATTAATATTTCTCTTAATAAAGAATATTTTAATGGTCTTGGAACAAAAAGCATAATAAGCAAAAACAAATGAATCTAAAGGATTTAATGTTGTATAATTTTGAGCTTTAATTGAAATGTTCTTCAGTTTTCGTTTGTGCCTCTGTAATATAGATATGTTATGTAACATATTATGACAAATATATGTTATGACAAAATTTTACTGCTTATGTCTTGCCTGCTAAAATTTTCCAAGTTTTATAAGTTCCACATTTTCATGTGCAATTCTGAAACACTTAGTAAGTATATGTCTCTATCAATTCTTAATAACAGGCAATTGGCCAATTAAAAATTTTTCACAAAACATTTACAATCAATTGCATTATATGAAGAACTTAAGTTTACTCACAAATAATTTTTAAACAAATGTTCAATATTTTGTGGTACATCAAAAGTAATTTCAGTATCTTTTATAAATGTATTAGCTAGTGTGCACATTTACCATATTGAAATACAATATCAGATATTTGTTCAAGCAATAGGTACTGAGAAAATTAAATAAAATTAAAACACACACAAAAAATTTTCTGCAACATTTTCTATAGCATTTGAAGAAAATGTTAATAGTAGGTGAGAGGGATGACCAAATAACCTCATTATTCACAGTTTTACTTTCTATTCCTGCATTCTAATATACGGCTACTATTGTAATTTTGAAAAAGTTTAACTGTTACTGAATAATCGACCAATATCTTATTTATCAAATCTGAGTAACATTCAGCAAAATTCATTGCCACAAGTACAATGTCAGAGACCTTCTGCTTACAACTCTCAAACCTTCACACTCACACATTTCTCTAAAGAATATTGAGGGATAGAAGTTCAGAAATGTTTCTTTTGAAGTGAGTTCATATGACAGGAATTGTTCACTCCTATTGTGAGTCAAATAGTTTATAAAGAGAGATTTTCAAATGATTGTTAAAAAAATAGTAGTGAATGGATCCAATATTATTTTGCACATTTATATTTAACAGTTGTAGATAGTATGAGAAATGAATCTACTTCATTTACTACATGAAGATCATTTAATTTCATTATGAGCATTATAACCATTATGAAACATATTATCATTGAATATGAATGGTATTGAATGATAATAAGTAGGGTATAAATGATAGTAAATGATACCCCACAAATGTATTTGGATGTGGTACAACTAGAGCAATGGCCTCAAATGCCTGAAAAATAATCAATGCAGAAAGAATTTGTTGTTTGAGAATTTCATAATGTCCTATGTACACATTTTAAATTTTTAAAACAGCATGACAGCTTTGCTATTGCAATATATTATACTTCACATGCTACTGGTCACATGATTGTAAATCAAGTTTTATGCTGCGCTCTATAAAACTTTCAATAGATGAAAGACTTTCTCGCGAGTGTGGCTCTGTCTCTCTTTTTCTCTCTTTCTCATCATCTTGCCCTCTCTCTCTCTCCCCTCTTCCTCACTCTAACTCCCTGTGTCCTTCCATCTTTCTCTCCCTGTCTCTCTCTCTCTTTCTCTCTCTGACTGTTTCTGTTTGTTTCTCTCTCTGCGGCTCTGACTTCCTTTGTCTCTTCCTGTATTTTTCCTAACTAACTCACTCACGAACTAACAAACTAACTAACTTACTAACTAACTAGCAATCTAACTAAAACTACTGTTGATTTATTTTGTTTGAAAACTATGCATTACTTTTAATTCTTTGCCTATTTTTTTTTTACTCTTCAATTTTGTGTTTTCGGTTGTTATTGTATTCTGAAAATACTTTGTGTCCTTCCACAATGATTTTCTTTTTAAGAAATTTCTTTATTCTGGAAGTGTGTTCTGTGTTAGATGGATATTAAAAATTAATCATGGGTGTTGCTGGAATGTTCATTCTGTGTTCTATTTTCTAGGCAATTAATAAAGAGGAGGTATTATTGGATCTTGCACCATCACCCTTCGTAATATTACAGCAGATGGTATCTGGGATTACCCCTCTAGAATTAATGTGGAGGACAGTTTTGAAATTTCATAAGAATTATGACAAATGGTACTATGGTATGTGGTTGCACTTTGCAAATATTTTTTGTTAAGATAAGCAACATTAAATTACAATGCAGGTCATTCTTCATTAATTGTATAATTAATGAAGACAATTTATACAGGTCCATTCAGTGAACTAAATGCTGAAGAAATTGGCCTAGAAATTGATGAAATGTTTAAAACACTGTACAAGTTAGCAAGGCAGTTACAAGATGCTCCTGGAGCGAAACGCATTGCAGAGATGGTGCGAGCAAAAGTGGAAAAATTTAAACAGTTTATCCCTCTGTTACATGTCATCTGCAACCAAGGACTACAGGAAAGACACTGGAAGGAGGTAAGAATAGATATTTATCTATTAAATATAAAATTTGAATTATCACAGGGATGTAATTTGGTTTTTGTTCATCCATAACTTTTGATAATATTTGCAATTTATTGAGGGAAAAAGCCAAAGCATTTATTAGCAATGAAGAAATTATACATAATACAATTTACAATAGTTAAATAATAGATATTTTTGATGAACCTGTAATTAAGAAATACAGTAAAGAACTGGGGGGTTAAAACATCTCTAGTATTTCAGTCCCACAGATAGAAGGGGGTGAGGACTTAATTTAAAGAATGACCTGCTCCCTATGCTTTCTTATGAGTCCATGTAGGTGGTCTAGAGGTTTCACAATTGGTACCAAATATGAGGAGCAAACATTAAAAATGTGATATGTCCACTTTACCCATTTTCGAGAAAAAAGGCAAAAATGTTATAGCAACAAAATTATGCAAATGTATTTTATTTGTGCTCAATTCTAAATTATGTAATAAGGATAGCTAAATATATTATAAATAAAAAAACTTAAATATTTTATTTTGGTTTAATTTTAGAGCTAGGTTTGTGTCAGACGTCTTGTTTTGAATAAATATGAAGGACATGTCATGCTTTGATTGAACAACAGAGGATATGCTTGATTTGAATGGAAAATAAATCCTTTTTATTGAAATTCATAAAATTATAATGGGAAAATTAATATTATTTTTCTTGCATCTTTTTTGTACAAAGCCATTATTGCAAATTTTATTAGAAATAAGAATATAATTTATTCATTATTAAGGTAAGACTATCCTCCCAACTTATACCATTTTATACAAATTCATAGATACATTTGGTGAAAAAACATGCACTCGCATTTTTTCTCCTATTATCAAAAACCAATGATTTTTGACATAAAAAAAAGACCATATTTGCTTGGCATTTCCATGATTCAGAATTATTCAATGTGGGATAATATTTTTCTCTAACTGATCAGTAAATAGCGATATTGAAGCAAAAATTTCACTTACAGAAAGAAAACTTTCAGGTCTATTTTGTGGTCAGCAGCAGTGAGAATTTAGACAAAATACCTGGAAAAGGTGTGCATTGTTTCTCTTAAACGGCCAGGGAAAATTCGCAGACCTAAGGAACCCACAACCGGTTGGGACACAAGGCAAGAAGTCTGAGCCTATGCTTTCTGAAACCTGAGGTTTGGAAATGCCTTTCTTTTTACATAACAATTTTAATAACAGAAATGAAGTGTGTGTACCTTTCCCTCCAAATAAACAGTAAATGACTCCTTATTTGCTACTAACATGATAAATAATAAAATGATTAGAAGAGGGATTGTGTACATGCCATGTTTTGAATGAAATACAAGTAAGACATCAGCAGTAGCGAGGGACATGTCCTGTTACGAAGGAAATTGCTATGTAATTAATGTACAAATTTCAAAGTGGACATGCCCTGGTTTGAGTGAAAACAGTAGCTTTAAGCTGAATTTATTAAGAGACATGTGTTTTGCATGAAAATGAAGGTCTGGGGATATAGAGCTCATCAAAATTAATACAAATCTTTGTATAACTCAATTTTGGCCGAAGGACATATTACATATTGAATGTTTGCTCATCATATTAGATGCTTAGCTCATTTTATAAGATAATACCAAATATTTACTTGTATGAAATTCTTACAATCAAAGTAATAGAATCTTCTAATTCACAGCCTCCACTAAATTTTTAGGAACCCAGATACTGGAAATGGTTTTTTTTTTTTGTCCAATATATTTCTTAGAGAACATTAGCTTCTAAATCTTTCCATTGTGGATTTTAATCTAAGGCTCAACTGGGGCCTTCCTTGAAGGAAATTTTAAAGTATTTTTTATAATATAATATTCAATTGCATTTTTGTCAAAAATGGCTTAAATTTTTTTCTTTAAATTCTGGTGAAAAAGAGCAAAATGTATTGTCATTAAGATATTCAGATTTCCAAAGATAACGTATTTTATCAGACCTCTGAAATAAAGATTTAAGTATACACTAGTGGCCTGCCATACAACAGATTTCCTAAAAGTAGCATGCAAACTGCTCAAGAGGAACAACGTATAAGAGTGCAATGAATTGATTATTTTAAGAAAAACAGTCTTCATGAATTCTCAAATAACATAGAATAGTAAATATACAGAACAAAAAATATCAAAGGGTGAGAGGCCTCTTTCTTAGAGCCGTGTTGTCACATGATGTCAGATACATTATAAGCAGGGACACACTGATTATAAGAATTGTGATGGTCCATGCAGGAAGAGAATAGGCGGAATAATGCAATCAAATATTTGCATTTTTCAGTCAAAGTAGAAATTGTTTCATTGGTTTTCATTGGATTTTTCACAAGTTCCTGAGTATCTAACAATTCTTCAATTTTTTCTAACTCTAACTTTTCTTTCAATTTCTGTAATGTAGAATTTGGTCAGAAATTAAAGTTTTAGTACTTCATTAAAGTAAGTTATATTGTTACTTGCTGAGTGATTGCATATATTGTGCAATTTTTTTTTCCTAGAATCATTTCATTTGCATAAAACTTAAGCCAAAAACTGCTCCAATTAAATTAAAAAGAGATGTATAATTCAAACAAAAAAATTTAACCAAAATCTTCATTTTGAATCTGATCTTAATTATATATTTTCAAACACACTATTAGATACAAATTTTGTATAAAGTTATTATTGTGGATCATTTTTGCAGATAAGTGAGGTAGCTGGAGTAGATATTACTCCAGAAAAATATCCATCTTTGAATGATATGGTTGAGGCAGGTTTAATGAAGTATGTCACTCGATTAGATGAAATAAGTGTTTCTGCAACCAAGGAGTATGCTTTAGAGCAAAACCTACAGAAAATGAAGGAAGAATGGGCAGATATTGAATTTGAATGTGTTCCATACAGGTATGACTAGCATTTTGTTGTAGTTATTAATTGTTATTATGATGGAATTTATTATCATGGAAAACTTTGTTGTTCATAAAATCAATAATGTATTGTAGGGATACTGGTACTTACATTCTGACAGCTGTTGACGACATTCAGCAGATGTTGGATGATAATATATTGAAAGCTCAAACTATGCGGGGCTCCCCCTATGTGAAACCATTTGAAAAGGAAATGCATGGTTGGGAAAGCAAACTCATCACTATGCAAGATATATTGGATGCTTGGTTGCTGGTAAGTACAATACATGACGATTATATTTACTTTAAGGAAAATATTGTCCTTAATATTTTACTTAGTTTTTTGGTATTCAATGTTACTCTAGATTTATGGAACATAAATGTTAATATTTAGTGTCTGCGGCAAAATTTTAGAATGTAACTTATTTTAATGCAATGAAACTGTCCTTTGCTTTAAATCTTTTTCTTTGGTTTAATAGTGTCAAAGTACATGGATGTATTTAGAGCCAATATTCAGTTCTGAGGATATTATGCGTCAAATGCCTGAAGAGGCTAGGAAATTTAAGCATGTAGATGGAGTTTGGCGTAGCATTATGGCTAATACAAACAAAGACAAACGTGTATTGAAAGCAACAGAGTTTCCTGGAATGTTAAAATTGTTGAGAGAAAACAATAATTTATTGGATGAAATACAGAAAGGATTGAATGACTATCTGGAGAAGAAAAGACTGTTTTTCCCAAGGTATCTTGGTACATATGTACTCACTTGGTGAGACTTTATATTTAATGCGCATGATATACAATTTTCACTATGCAACTTTTTTATGACTTCCAGCTGTAGATTTTTTGTTACTTACCTTTTTCCCAAAAACTAAATCCAGATGTTTTCTAGTTAAAAGTTATCATTCTTGACAGGTTTTTTTTCTTATCAAATGATGAGCTCCTAGAAATTTTGTCTGAAACGAAGGATCCTTTGAGGGTTCAACCACATTTGAAGAAATGTTTTGAAGGAATTAGCCAGCTTGATTTCACTCCACAACAGGAAATAGTTGGAATGATGTCAGCTCAGAAAGAAACAGTTCCCTTTTCAGGATCTATTTTTCCTCTTGAAGCCAAGGTAAAGTGTTATTAACTTAAAACTTATTAAACAAATGTGTAAACAGATTGATCTGGTTGAAGTTGCAACTCCTTGAATTTGAAACAAATATTTTGATTTTATATGAAGTCTCAAGGATATTTTCAGAATTTTCACAAAAATTGCTAATGGAAAATGGTAAATGTTTTTCTCAGATGGAGTAAAGTATTCTTGTAAAAATAGTGCAGATCCCATATTCATTCATCTCTATTTTTGAAAATTGCAAAAGTAAAGATTGTTTCTGCATATTCCTACAACTGCAATATTGAAAATAGTGTATTTTTCCATAATAAAATGTGTTCTTCAAATTCTTTGATACTTCTCTGAATTTCTGAAAAATGTAAATGAAAATGTTCAAATTTATTTTTAAAGTATTGAGAATGTTGCTTCACCTTTGAGGCTAGTGGTGTTGAAGTGATGAGAATGTCATGCTAATTCTACATACCTGAAGTCGAATCCCAGCATGGTAAAAAAGATTTTGCTAGTTGGAAACACTTTTGCGAGTTGAAGTATGTATTTGGCATTTGGGATGTTTGTCTATGTCCACTAGCTAATGGTGTACTCATGCCTACATCTAGTTTTAATTTACATGCTTGGGGCTAAGAGAAACTAGAGATATTATTATGATTTTACATCTTTCTTTTTTACTTTTTTGTTATTTAGGATCACATCAACATCTAGGTCATTAGCAACCACTGTTGCATTTAACGGTATAATAACTGTAAAGATGACAAGATGTGATGATGATGATAGGGGGTGAAAGGACGAACATAAATACAACCATATTCGAGCCATTCGAGCCACGAGATTGCCATGGCACAACTGCCTTAACGATCTCGGCCATCCGGATGACAATTTTTACGTATAATTTTGTGTGTGTGTGTGTGTGTGTGTGTTTGTGTGTGTTTGTGGGTGTGTGTTTGTGTGTGTGTTTGTTTGTGTGTTTGTATGTGTGTTTGTGTGTGTGTGTGTTCGTTCCCTCGTTCCTTCGTTCGTTCGTTTGTTTGTTCGTTCGTTTAGTTTGTTCGTTTGGGTTGTTGTTCGTTTTGTTCGTTGTTCGTGTCGTTTTTCGTGTGTCGTTTCGATCGCTTTGATTCGGTGCGTTTGTGTCGTTCGTGTGTTGTTCGTGTGCGTTCGTTGGTTGTGTCATTCGTTGTGTTCGTTGCGTTGTTCGTTCGTTTCGTTTTTCTTTTGTCGTTCGTTGTTCGTTTGTACTGTTGGTTCGTTCGTTCTTCGTTGTTCGTTGTTTTGTCGTTTTGTTCGTTTGTGTCGTTCGTTCGTTGCGTTTTGTTCGTTCGTTCCTCGTTCGCTTTAGTTCGTTGTTGTTTGTTCGTCTGTTAGGTTGGTTCGTTTGTTGTTCGTTCGTTTTTTTTTCGTTGTTTGTTGTTCGTTTGTTCGTGTTCGTTCGTTGTTGTTCTCGTTTGTTCGTTTCGTTCCGTTGTTCGTTTGTTCTTCGATTCGATTGTGTTCGTTTTTCGTTCGTGTGTTCGTGGGTGTCGTTTGTGTCGTGCGTTCGGTTTGTTTCATTCGTTGTTCGTTCGTTTAGTTGTTCGTTTGGTCGTTCGTTCGTTTTCTTGGTTCTTCGTTCGTTTGTACCGTGTTCGTTTTGTTCTTGTTCGTTTGTTCGTTCGTTGTTCAGTTCGTTTGTTTCGTTTCGTTGGTTCGTGTCGTCGGTTGTTCTTGTTTGTTCTTCGTGTCGTGTTCTTGTCTTGTTTTTCGTTCGTTTTCGTTCGTTCGTTTGTTCGTTCGTTTGTTGTGTTCGTGCGTTGGGTTCGTCGTTCTTTTCGTGTGTCGTTTGTTGATCGTTTCTTCGTTGTTCGTTCGTGTTCGTTTGTTCGTTTGTTCGGTTGTTTGGTTTGTTCGTTGTTCGTTGTTCGTGTTGTTGCGTTTGTTGCGTTTGTTCGTGTTGTTCGTTTGTTCGTTTGTTCGTTTTGTCGTTCTTGTTTTGTTCGTTTTTCGTGTTCGTATTTTGTTCGGTCGGGTTTCGTTCGTTTGTTGGGTCGTTCGTTTTGTCGTGGTTGTGTCGTTCGTTGTGGTTGGTGGTGGTGTTGTGTTGTATGTTGTGTTGCGTTTTTGTTGTGTGTGTTTTGTTGGTGTGTTTGTTTGTGTGTGTGTGGGGTGTGTTTGCGTGTGTGGGTGTTGCGTGTGTGGTGTGTTTGCTGTGTGTTGTGTGTTTGTGATGTGTGTGTTTTGTTTGTGTGTGTGGGTGGGTGTGGGGTAGTTTGTTGTGTGGTGTGGGTTTGTGTGTGGTGTGTGTGGTGTAGTTTGTGGTGTGTTTGTTTGTGTATTGGGGTTTGATGTGTTTGTGGTGTTTTTGTGTTGTGTGTTTGGTGCGGGGTGGGGTGTTTGTGTGGTAGTGTTGTGTGTGTGTTGTTTTTTTGTAGTGTTTTTGTGTGTGTGTTTGTGTGGGGGTGTTGGGTGTTTTGGTGTGGGGTGTGTGGGTGGGTGGTGTGCTGTGGGTTGTGCGTGGTGTGTGCTGTGGGTGGTGGGTTGTGCGTGTGTGGGGTGGGTGCGTGTGTGGTGGGTGGCGTGAGGGTTAGGTGGTGTGTGGCGTGGCATGTTTGTGGGGTGGTGGCAGTTCTGGGTTGGGTGGCAGGGGGTGTGTGTGGGTGGGTGTGTGGTGGGTGGGTATGTGGGGTGTGTGGGTTGTGTGTGGGTGGGGGTTGGTGGGTGTGGGTGGGTGTGTGGTGAGGGGTGTGGGGGCTTGGTGTTTGGTGTGTGATTTGGGTGGGTGGGTGTCTCAGGATATCCAATTCTAGCTGACCTAATTACATTTGTTATTATACAGTTTATTGCTGCCATTTCACCTTTTTATATTGTAATTCTTTTGAGAGCCCTGCCATTCCACTTCTAGTAATTCATCTATGATTTTCAAACAACAAAAACACTTTTCATGTAGTAGTTTCATCTTCAGATCAAGAAGAATGAAATGTCAAAGCATTTATGATACAATAATATTTTCTGTCTTCTTGTCATTATGTGAATCACCAATGAGGGGTACATCTCACTTTTCTGTATTTAGGGTCTAGTGGAGAAATGGCTCGTAGAAGTGGAAGCCCAAATGAGAATTTCACTGAGAGACATTGTCACAGAAGCAGTTGCTGCTTATTTTGTCACTCCAAGAAATCAGTGGGTGTTAAATTGGCCAGGACAGATTGTTCTTTGTGTTGGATGTATTTATTGGACTGCAGAATGTGCAGAAGCCCTTGAAGAAAGAACTGTCATGGTAAATGAAAATGAAATTAATAAACTAAATTATACTTACTTCAAAATCTGTATTACCAAGACTTTTTACGTCTTTGTTTCAGATCTATAAGAAAAAGTGTGATACACAAATTGAAGATTTAGTAACATTAGTTCGAGGATTTTTATCACCAGGGGCCCAAATAACAATATGTGCATTAATTGTTATTGATGTTCATGGTAAGTCGTTTGTGTTTCTTGAGCAAGCTTTGTACGTATTAAGATCTTATACACCAAGGGTGAGGCATGACAGTTTTGTGCAGTCATTCCTAGACCTGTTTTTGTGTCTTTCTGAGGTAATGTACACTGGTCCCAACTGCTGAAAAACTGGTCAAAATATGAAGGTGTGGCTTAATTTTTCAAAATTTGTTTTAAAAAAATATTTTCACACTTTTAATTAGTGATATATAAAAATTTTCAAGCAAATTAAGCCAAATCTTTGTATTTTGGTGTAGGTGTTTAGCAGTTGGGACCAGTGAGCATCACTTCAGAAAGACACTGGGCAAGTCTATCATTGACCATGCATTTCTGCCATATCTCACCTCTGTTTTCTGCAAATTCTATCTTGTCTTGTGTCTTGCACTTACTTTACTTCCTATTTTGTAGTTCCTGTCCTTATACAATACTTAGGCATATATCAGTTATAGAGCCAACTCATGTTCTCTTAAATTGTCCAGATGGTCTTTTCCCTCCTTTTTTTCAAAGATCTGGTTTGGCTTTCTATTTTGACATATGTCATGTTAATATGTTCAAACCACTTGTGTGCATTGTCTTTTGTTCATTTCTACTAGTAACTTTCAACTCATCTCAAATGGCGCTTTTGTAAATAATGAGATGGTATTGTTTGCATTGAAACAGATTAAACCTCTTTGCCTCTAACAATCAAAAAACACTACAACGTAGCATTTTGTGAATTCCTCTTCTTCTGTACATGTAATCAATGAGAGTGAATGATGTACACATTTTCTATAAGATTTCTCTCCCATTTATAATGTAGAAGAATAAGGATATCTATATTGAATATTTTTTATTGTGTAGCGCGGGATGTAACAGCACTCCTTGGAGAATTAGGCATTTCTTCTGATAAGGATTTCAATTGGATTGCTCAACTAAGATACTATTTTCAAGATGGTACTGTTCATGTTTGCATGATTACTACCGATATTACCTATGGCTTTGAATACCTAGGAAATACTGGTCGTTTGGTTATAACACCTCTTACTGACAGATGTTACAGGTAAGTGAAACTTCCTACCTCTGTAGTACTACTTTTATGATGGAAAATTAAACACTTAAATGTGTACAATTAAGTAAAAAAAAATACATATACAAAATTTTAGAAAAGTATTTTGTCAATGTTTCAGGAACGATATATCATTAAATAGATATAAATAATATCCATATAAATAATTTTTGGACAAATAAGAAATAAGTAATTTGCAATTTATTTCACAAAAGTGCATAAAAACTGTTTGCACATATTTTTGCAGAACATTGATGGGTGCTTTGAAATTAAACCTGGGTGGAGCACCTGAAGGTCCTGCTGGGACAGGCAAGACAGAAACAACCAAAGATTTAGCAAAAGCAGTTGCAAAACAATGTGTGGTTTTTAATTGTTCTGATGGTCTAGATTACAAAGCTATGGGGAAGTTCTTTAAGGTGAATATTTTAACTATGTGTACTATTCCCGATGATGTTGGAGAATCAGAAAGTAGGCTTATTCCCTTTCTTAGTCAGTGCGTTCTTTCTTTGATGATCTTGTTGTTATTATATTTTCTTATAAGTTGATAAAATATTTTGTGAGTCGAGATTGTGAATGTTTTTTGCTCTGTTGCTTGAATGCTTAATAGCAATAGCTTTCATGGCTAGATATTTTACAATCTCATGTGTTTTTAGAGAAAGCTGTTCTCTTATGTCTGTAAGTCTTGTGAATGGTGAGGGCTCCATGATGTTTCTCACAAAATAATTTTCCAATACCTGAAGTGAAGTCTATTGACAAGTTTTACCAGTATCTAGCCTAGAATGTATTTATTTTACCAGTTTTATTTGCATTTATTTAACTGTATGTTCACTAACTTCAACATGTAAACATAACATTAATACACATTGGAAACTTGTTTGAAACTTATATAGGCCATCTAATTCTAAATGCTGTAGAAAAGACTATAGGTGCTCAAGCCAAAGTAAATATACTTTCATCAAAACAGGTAGTTGAAATCTGGGACATCAACAAAACAGTAGCAATTATTATAATTATCATTTTAAATTTAACATATCACAATATTTCATATTATATTTATCATATATCAACATCACAATCACAATCAATAACATTGATGAACTGAAGGAAAAGTATGAAAAATAGTACATTGATCACTGGCCTTCCTTGCTGAAGAGACAATTGTGAGACCTTTTGAATATTTGAAGATTAGGTGCAGTCACAGCATTCTAACATTCTACATTCTAGGTAGAATGAAAGGTAAAATCTTCTAAACAACTTGGTTTCGCAGAAAAGTTTTGTGTTGTGTTAGAGCATGCGTAGATTTCATAAGTTTCATACTATAACCTCGTAATTGTGGGTTTTCAGATTGCTGGAAGATGCTGCTAAGGTCAAAGGGGTAATGCTCATGCAGGATCTTGTATTTTTCAATTTTATCAATATGTTGTCTTCTAGTAGCAAAAGTTGGAAGCCAAAGTGTTGTTAGTTGCTGATCATAATTCATGGTTTTGAGGTCTGTAGGGATATGCATAATTATTCTAAATCATCGTACCAAATTTAATTATTGAGAGAACATCATTAGGTCCTATATACGTTGTTTCTTATAGTGTTGAAGACTTAACAAAGTATGAACATAGCCTTGTTAGCTTTTTTTACAATGTAACTCCTGTGTTTTCTCATTCGAGATTTTTAGTTATCATGATCCCTAAAATCTTTATGACTTCAGTTTCAGCCAGATTCTTTGTGCCTATTTGGTAATTTCGATTGAAGTTGAATCTTCTGATACTCATGACCACATATTTCAATTTATTCAAAGGTAACAGGCAAGATCTTGACCATTCACAAATTTTATCCAAGTCATCTTGAGGGTTGAAGATGGCGAAGTTGGTGATGAAGTTAACAAACCAGTGGGTTGGAATAGAATTTAATATTGTCCGCATACCTCTTAAAGTGAGAATGCCTACTGTCAGGCAGGTCGCTAGTATAAAAGATAAATAAAATCAATCACAATACCAAGCCCTGGAGAAGTCCACTGGTAATTCACTTCAGTGATGACTTGTTTCCTCCAATTCATGCACAAAAACAATGATCCTCAAGAAATGACTATCCAAAGCAAAATTATCCCTCTTATGTCAGAGTATGTTTGTTGAGATGTTTCAATGTGGTACCTTGTTGAAAGCTTTGAAAAAGTCCAAGAAAATAATATTTGTTGGGTTGCTATTGTCAGGATCCATTGTTCAGTTTTGAAGGGAGGATAGTAAATTTGTCATTGTAGATCATCCTGCTACAAAACTGTGTTG